AAGTTTCAACCAGTGAAAACAAGTATGAAAAAGAGCTGATTTGTGATCATCAAACCAAAATTGATTTAAAAAATAAAATAATATTAATACTATAATATGAATGACATTCTAACAAAATAAGTGCACAAAAAATGAATTTTAAATTAAAATTGGTAATATCAGCAATTCAACTAAATAGTTAAGGTAAGGCCCGCATACCACCCAGCCTAGATTGAGGAATTACGGGCTTGGAATGTTTTATACAACGCAAATTGATTTAGGACTTATTAAGTCTATAAAGCAGCGTCGATCAAATGACATTCCAAAGTAAAATTGTTGCTACGGTCGCAATGGCGATATTAAGGCTAGGTTCCTCCAAAAAAACATATTTTTTACAAAGAAATTTTATTTATTAAAAAAATATATTTATAAATCAAAGTTTTTTTTAGATACATAAGTAGACGTATAAAAATATAAAATGAAAAATTTTTTTTGTTAAAAGGAAGCTCTTGAAATTGCTGCTGAAACACGTCCCATTTGTTGGTGAGTGACACGATGACCGTAAAACGAATCATCTGAAAGCAAAAATCAAAACGATTTCTTATTCTGTATCACATTGGCTATGCTCAGAACTACAATGAAAAATTTTCACCTGAAAACCCAAAATGACGGACTTTGAATTTTTTGCTTTTTTTCAATTTTAATTGTTTATAAATTTTTCAAATAACCATGCATATTTTTGCTTGCAGTACCGACCGTAGAGAGGCATTTTAGGAGTAAAATGCCGTTTAGTTCATGTAGATAAGTTCACCCAGTTGAAAAAAACGTGGTTTCGGGAAAGAGGCGATTGAAGTATTGGTTCGGCTGGACTTACCGCTTGGCGCGCTCCGCTCTCGCCTCTTCACTACTTACTTCTTGGTCGTGCGAAACTTCGGTGCAAATTCTTTATTATTTCTAAAAGTATTTTCTAGCAATTTACAGTCAAAAAATCTCGTTTTTTAAAGCCTCCGGCAGCTACGAAATAAAGCTCTAGCTTGGGTTTTGTTTAAACAGAATCGGATAAACTCTATAATAACGCTCAAACCAAGTTTCACCCAAATCTTCATACTTTTAGAGAAAAACAAACATCGCTTGACGGCTATAAAGCATTTAGAACTTTAACACACTGCTGAAATACAATGACACAAAAGACAATGTAGTTTCATTCAAAATTGTTTCCAACAATTTAAACATCTGATATAAAAAGATTTTTTGACTTTTGCTTTATTTTTGTGCTAAAAATTTAATTTTTTAATATTTTAAAATAATGCAAAACCTTTAAATTTAAACAAAAAAGCAAAGAAAAATTAAACGTACTCACAAAAAATTTATTTTCTGAAATCTAATGGAAATACAATTATTTTGATGCGGCTAAACTTTTTTTTATAAAAAAAAAAATTATATAAAATATTTTTAAAGTGGTTTTTTTTTAAAGTTTTATTTTCAATTTAACTTCTAAAAAAAATTACTATATAAAAAAAATATTTTCCTGTCAATTTTATATTGAATCAAACTAACTTCCTTCTGATATCTTGTGAAATACTAGGTTTGTTTATTGAGGCTGAAAACAGAGTAGAGCAGAGTAAGTTAAAGTAGAATAGAGCAGCTGTCAAAGAACTGAAGAGCAAGTTAGAGCAACTCGGAGGTGAAGTCTCATGAAACACTTTCTAGGTAGAAATTTTCGTTAAGTTGAATGTTTGACTTTTCATTTGACAAGTATAATATATTTTAGATATAAGGATTTGTCTACATATAAAATTTTTGCATAATAAAAAATGGATAAATATAATATCACCGAAATCATGGAAGAATATCTAGATTCTTCAAACTCAGATAATTCGCTTTTATCCTCATCAAAAATTGAGAGCTCCGGAGATAGTGAGGAAGATGATTTTGTGAGATAGCGCAACCTAGCGCATGCTAGAGCAGCTCAATAAACAAACCTACTATAAATTTTGAAAATGCCATTTTAGATTTCATCCGTGAGGATTCAATTTCTTTACTGACTAATTTTTATATACATTTCTCACCGAGCAGAGTTTTCTATTTCGAAAATTTCTAATTTACTTTTAAAGCCAAACTTAAACTTTTGCCACAGCCTCTCCTTTTTTCGCACGCCTATGGGTAAAATTTTTAAGTTTTAACGAAAATCCTTGCAAAACAAATAAACAAAATTTTGGTTTAAGTAAAAAAAAAAAATCATACGCCCAGTGTGCAACAGATGTGCAACTGTTATTAATCGATTATAACCATAAAAAGCGTAAATTGCTACATTATAGTCTAGTGACTGGAAGCATGTGTAAAATGCAATACTTGGATTATTTTTTCATAAATCTACGTAATTAGCTACGTTATATGCCAATTAGTGTCAACGCAAATTACTTTTAGCATATGTATGTTTGTATGTAGTCAGTTAAGAGGAAGTTAACTGATGCGTTATCCATATATGGAGGGGGTTAATTAAAAATAATTTAGGCTGTGAGTGGCTTCGAGGTGTACTTGTGTGTCAACAGTATCTGGAAAACAGTTAGAAAATTGTATATGAAATTAATTAACTGTAATACATATGTACATAGAAATATATATACGAATCAAACATTTTCCCCACTATCAATTGCTTAAAACGTGCGGCACGAAATTGTCAATCAGTTGCTGCAAGTTCACATGCGAGCACACACGACTGAGTAGAAAGGTGAAAGGTGAGTGCTAGAAATGTGTTAGAATTTCGCCAATGAACAAATGAATGCTGGATTATGTGATTAAGAGACATAAAAGCATAATTACATATAATCATACAATCAATGAACTCTATGAAAACTCGCCTTTAGTGCACAAAAGTGGCCCCCAAGCCGTCTAAAAATGCTTATTTTCTTTTGCTAAAATCAAGTTTTTATTTTAATTTTAAAACTCGTTTACAAAAAATAATCGGCAGATTTCGCATTCAAGTCAACTTCTGAACCCGGGCAAGTATTCTTAACAATGTTATTGTTGTTGTTGATATTCTTGTAGACGTTCACTACCGCCCCTTAATAACAAGCACGATCAGTTTAAGTCATCGAGGTCATGCACCGACGGGTTCGGGACGGAATGAGTTGGTTTAAGGGGCTTACAAAAAGCTGGTAAGTGTCATGCGGGAACTCATTGTAAGCTTTACATACGTTGGATATATTTGGTCAAGTCTGGAGTTGAAAGCCTCTCGGTGAATGGTGTTTAATGCCTGTCGGTAAGTCGTCCTGTCCAACAGTTGTTGTGGGGGGAGCTGATTGCAGTTCTTAAAGTCGAGGCCTACCTTCTTGATGTGCCTAGTAAGTGTCTATTTGGGTACCATCTTATCATCGATTGCTTGCACAGCATAAATTTATGCTCTCTAGCTCATAGAATAGATGCTCCGCTTTGCAAGTGATGCTCTGCAGACATCATGAGTTTCTCTAACACGGTACTGAGGGCGCCAATTGCCTTCTTTGTTGGCGGTTAAACTTTTAAGACTTCTTCCAACTGTGGAGTTTCGTGGCAATTAAAGTCGTATGCGAATGTGACTCCCAAACGTTTGTTTACCTTATAGGAAGTATCCCAATGAAGTCCCGTTAACCTCTCATCCGTGGTGGGTTATATAGCTGCATTAATCTTCATCTTGGAAACCTCATCATGTATGTATATTTCTTAGATCTTTCTCTATGACGTTAGATGCTTCCCTTCCAATTCTTCTCACATCACCATTTACTCCAAACTTGAGATCACTAGACAACCAAAGCTCACTACCGAAAAGTATCTTCCCTTGCGGGTCAGAGAGTCAAGAATTTACCCGCGGTAAGGCATGCCTGTCGACTAAAATCCAATAATTCCCATACGAAAGGACTGTCACTCCAGCTACATTTCCCATAAACTACAACAACCGTGTATGTCCATGCACTGCGGACCAATATTCCATCAGGATCAGATGTGGATATCTCAAACATGCCCACGACCTTTCTCAAGTGCTCTTCCAGGGTTTGGTTGAATCGTTCTACCATGCCATTTTTCCGAATACCCAGCTATATCCAGGGCGACTCGTTCAAATAGTGCACCTGAGTGATATTACTTCATCTGTCCATGACTTCTGAATTTCTTCCAGTTCTCCTTGAAGACGGCCAAAATTCTCAACATCGGAACAATGTTTACATTCCGAGCTACATGGTCAACAGGATAAGGCGTCTACATGTGCTTGCACGGAAATTTTCACGTACAAATACTTCTGGAAATGCTCAATGCGATTCACCAATGCTAATAATTCTCTCCAAGTTACGCAGTAGTTCCCCTACGGCTTTCCAATACACGGGCTACTGTAAGCAATTGTGAAAGAACGCCTCCTATGGCATAACCACTAGCATCCTTATACAGAATAACTGTTACATTTTAAACCGGGTACATTAACATAGGGGCAGTGCAGGGATTGAAACGCATCCTATTTTTCCTTTTTGCCCTTAAACCTTATTGCTTCTTAGTGAGCTCATGGAAGCAATTAGCAACGCAGAATTTAGAAAAAATAGATCAAAGCATAGCCCATCTCCGTAACTCATGCGAATTCCTAAGCCTTTCACAATCTTTCACTTCTCCAAATTTTACTTTGCAGTGCAGACGCACTATATGATTGCCTGATGACTTAATGCCTTCTTAAATAATGATATCTTCTTAGAACTTAGTTTGAGACCAGCGCCAACTCACCTCTTCCAAATTATCATGCATATTTGGCATTTTCTCGTAATACTTTTTGCTTGTATTTAGTCGTTATACTTATTCATTTATGCGTCTAAGGGCTTGCGCGATTTAATTTGCCATTGAGGCTACCATTGTACTCAAAAAAAAATTTAAAACTTTTTTTCTTGCTGTCCCTGTACTATTTCGTTTCTTTACGTTCTCTTCCATTTTGTTCCAACTGTCAATCACAGAACGTAGGCACATCTAAGAGCGTAAACCAAATCATATGACGTTTTCTATGCAGCGCTGCTTTGGTTGTCAGTTACTGTTTGACGTTTGACGTTTGATGTCGCTGGTGAAAAATTTCTAAAAAAAAGTTTGTGATTGCAAAATTTTTTGGATTCATTTGCATTTTGATTTTATCTCTTCTCATTGCGAATCGCTTGTTAAATAAACGACTGCAAAACAAAAAAAGTGGTGCAAAGATAATTAAGCTTTGATTAAAATTATCGGAAACAAATCGAATAAGATGTGAAAAGCCAAAACAACATATACATCCACTTACATATGTATATATATGAAAAACAAAATAAAAATTGTATAGACGGCACATTGCAAAGAACAAAATCTAAAAATAAGCAAAAAAATCAATTGGAAGCTATTTAAGTAAATAAACGAACTATTGGCAAGTTAATACTAACTATTTTGGAGCTTTAGCAGCATAAAGGAATAAATATATTAATGCAGAAAAATTAAAAGTTATTCTACTCTACCCGAAATATTTTCAAATATAAATTTTAAATCTGTTGCTTAGAAAAGAATTGACACTATCATAATATTGGTACAACTTATTACTCTTCAAATAGAACAACTGTGCAGGAGGCTTTTACATACTCGTATTGTATAATAAATAACAAAGACAAATATTGGGGCTGACAAAAATTGCAAGAGTGACTCAACATCTGCAAACTACCAGTAAAGCTTATTCCATTCCGTTTTGCTGTGCTTCCTCAGCAACTGCTATTACAACAGCATTTCAGCTGGCGGTGATACTGCATACATATGTATGTATATACATACTGTCGTTCACAAGACTTACTAGTTTTTAGTACTACATTCATATTAGCAATCAAGCCATACGTTTGATTACTTGTCTGTTCAAATAAAGCTATTCCAGTATCAAAGCATAACTTAAAATTGAATCGAAATTTTAGTGGATTATTTTAAAACTTTTGCCAATACCTAAAATAACAAGAAAATAAAAAATAGCATATTATGGTTGGCGTATATAAAAATGATCTGTTTAACTTAAACCGTTCTTAAAAAATAGTAAATAAATAAACAAATATAAATACGTGCTAAAATTTGTGTTTGAAAATATCGATACTATCAATTCATATAAATGAGTGCAAGCATGAGATTACAAGAAGGGCAGGCGGGATCCGGCCCGCGACCAAAGATGAATGCATCAAGTGATCTATTGACAAAAGAGGAGAATGAAATTGTCTTCGGACTATTAGGAAAAAAGTGTCAGGTGAGTGATTTTTTTTTTTTTAATTATTTACCTATTAATTTATCTTTGCGTTTAGAGCTTTGTTTCCAGCTATATATTATATGTACGACTCCGCTTCCTGGCAAAAACAATATAAACCTACCAACTCCGATTCAAACTATGTACCAATGTAGTTATATACTTAAAACACAAACAACACCTATTATGTTTAAAAAGCGACCCAAATATGTCGCATGTAAACATTCCATCATCGTGGTCAGCCAAAAAAAAAAACCCGATTTGCCATCTTTGTAATTGTTGCACAAAAGTAAATATAAAAAAAGTAAAATTGGTAGAAATACAGCAACATATAAAACAAACATTAACAATGGTCAAGCACATTTACAAAGAAACAAATGTACTCGTACACAATCGATGGCGATAAAAGCTTTGACAAAACCTCGATGAATGATGGACAAAAGAAACCTACATAAAAAGTAAATATGTAGGTATATTAAGAAAAGCGTAACAAGCTAAAAACTGTGATTTTCAAAGAGCAGCAAAAAGAAGTCAAATCTGTAAAAAGTTAAACCATATAAGAGGCATAAAAGGGTTAGCTCAAAACGTAGCGAATTTTTTCTCTAAATCTATATAAAAAAAGAGAAAGAAAAACATAAGAAACTCAAGTAGAAAAGATAATTAGAAAGTTTTATTTGCGAGACTCCACCGCCTGCGCAATCTCGTCATTAATCAAAACTTATATAGTACATAAAGAGACAACTGTTTTAAAAACATGAAAGCGAAAATATAAATGTGTTGACTTTAGTTCACATATGCTACATATATACATACATATGTATATATGTGTGTATTCTCATAGCTGTACAATAAGTTTCTCTAGAAAACTTCGAACTTTTTAAAAATATAAAACAAACCAATCACTTCTGCATATTTCTTTCTAAATATTACTCATACATTTCTTTGAAATTGGCAACGAAGACACGAAGAAGGTATTTGATTAAAAGAATTCTTATCGTGAAAACCTTTTTGAAAGTATTAGGAACGTTTGAGCATTTATTGCAAAATATCAATACATGTATAACTTATTTCAGTTATATAAACATATTAATATATATATTTATATATATAAACACACATATACGCAGCTTAATTACCGCATGATAAGATAAGTCGTAACTTTATTTAGCTATTAATATCAATGCTATAAGAACTTAGCAGTGCTTATCACTTTCAGAAAAATATGCAGCAAATATACTGCCACCATTGGAACTATTGTAGTATTGAATTTTTAATTTCAAACATCATTAGTCACTTTTTTTCAACATATAATATTGGGATATGCAAATTCCATATAGTAAAATTAGTAAATAGAACTAACAATACTAGAATTAAGAGAAGTTACCTCACCGCACTTTTAAAGTTGGGGAAAAAATTGTCATAAAACAAATAAAATTCAATGTTATAAAAATAGTACACATGAACCAGACTAATAAAAACTTTGCTTCCGCCGTTTTCCGATAGTTGGCTGTACCGGCTGAGGCTGGTTGAAATACATAGATGATAATGCCTTTAAAGTGAGTGTGGACAGTGCCTAACGCATTGTCATCGCCGTTTCAGTGCCAGTTGTTCTTGTTTTCGTATTATTCACGCTCGAAAATGTCCGTTTATGTGCCTAATTCTCGCCATTTGCGGGAAGTTTTGCTTTTCTGTTACAATTCTAAAAAAATGCAGCTGAAGCGCATCGAATGCTCTCAGAAACTTACGGTGATGCTGCAACGCAACTGATGCGCCTTAGTCGCGCGCTACAGGAAAAGCGGCCACAATGTCAAGAGCGACATGACAAAGTCATCCTCCATGCTCGGCCTCACGTCGCAAAAGTGGTCAAAAAGTACCTGGAAACGCTGAAATGGGAAGTCTTGCCCCACTCGCCGTATTCCCCAGATATCGCCCCTTCTGACTTCCGCCTATTTCGTTCGATACACGGCCTGGCAGATCAACATTTTCAATCCTTCGAAGAATTGGAAAAATGGATTGCTTCATGGATAGCGTCAAAAGAGGACTCCTTTTTTCGAGCTGGGATCCGAAAATTGCCGGAAAGATAGGAGAAAGTTGCCGCCAGCGAATGACAATACTTTGAATAATATATCTGTAAGCACTTTTTCGCAATAAAGCTTTTAATTTTGGAAAAAAACGATGGAAACAAAGTTGTACACCTGATAATTTTTTTATAGCTTTCTAACTGCGAAATCTTTCTTATCACTATAACATATGTACATATTTTAGCTATATATTATATTTAAATACGAATATAAAGGCATATCTTTTATCATAAGAAAACATTGCAAACTAGTAAATACTTCCACTATCCGGTTATCCAATGAGAGGTGTTATTCAATAGCCCGCTACTCCCTGAAATTTCTCTTTCGAGGCTGTAATTTTTCTCATCTGATAAAAAAAAATTGAACCAGTAATAAAAAAATAGGCCGATATACGATACCGAATCAACAACACACTGAAATTATTGAAGTTCACTAAAAAAAAGGCTTTCATTGGCAGCCATGGCTCAAAAAAAAAAAAAACTAAAACATTTATCGGAGGTCACAACGCGCTTTGTCGAACCGCAATACAGTAATCGGTTGGGGGAAGGTTACTGATGTGAAGAATAAAACACATCCACCTCGCTCAAGAACAACTGAGAATATTGCTGCTGTAGACCAAAGTGTTGACGAATTCTGGGTTTGTTCACTTTTCGTCGTACTTTAGAGGTGGACATTTCACATTACCGTCATTGCACCGTAATTTGCATAAAAACTTGGGTCTTAATACTTTCAAAGTTCAGTTAGCACTAAAATTCAGATCGTGCTTTTGCTGATTAGGTCTCTGAATAGTATGAAAGTGATCCAGAACTTCATCGTAAAATCACCTTGACTAATGAGGCCCATTTTCGCGTCGATGGCTGGCGTGGTTTATAGCCAGGCGGGGCGGGATCCTTATTTCTTCGAAAATGAGGCAGGAGCAACAGTTATGGTCAATGATTAATAATTTTTGATGGCCGGAATTGGATGCCGCACAAGTAAAAAAAAACCATAGATATTTCAAGTCAAAAGTTTCCGGTCTGTGCTATATCTCGAAGATTTGCTCGCCTTTGGCACTGAGATCTTGTGATTTAACACCTTGCGTCTTGTTCCTTTCGGACATTTCTTTTTTGAAAATCCTGTACCATATAAACGTACACAAACAAAAGGTGTCATATTCCACCAGGACAACGCTAGACCGCACACATCTTTGGTCACTCCCCAAAAACTGAGTGAGCCAAACTTTTGATGCATCCACCATATAGCCCTGACCTTGCACCATCAGACTACCATTTATTTCGATCTTTGCAGAACTCCTTAAATGGTAAAACTTTCGGCAATGATGAGGCTATAAAATCGCACTCGGTTCAGTTTTTTGCAGATAAAGGGCAGAAGTTCTATGAGCGTTGAATACTAAATTTGCCAGGAAGATGGCAAAAGCTTATCGAACAAAATGGCAATTATATATTTGATTAAAGTTCATTCTAAGTTTTATTAAAAATGCATTTACTTGCTTTTAAAAAATCCGCAATTACTTCTTGGGCAACCCAATATATATATAATTGGCGCTTTGTAACCGCTGAAACGATTATTCGGCCGAGCTTCTCCTCTAATTTGTGGTTTTGCGTATTGATATTTTTCCAACAAACGGAAGGCCCTATACTTTATACTATGCCGCCTCCAAACGGCTGATGGTTTTTTTTTTATGAAGAGCCTTTATATCTTGTCAGAAATGCACTCGGAGGTGTTAACAATCCCTGACTAGGGTCGGCCGAAATTACAAAATGTAACTTAATTTTTTTTATTTAAATTAATTATCTATAAGTTTTTGTGATTTTGGTACGACACCTGAGCCATCCGAATGACAGTACGCAATGCTAACCACTCGGCTATCGCAGCCACCAAATACAGTTATGAACACATAAATGACACAAAATTAGATTCTTGTTGAGTGATAAAAATTTTCTACTGAAACTCAGAAGTTTTAAATATTTCTTGGAAGAAAGTCTATGAAGCAATACATATATAACGGCCAATGGAACGACAGGGGCTGCTATTATAACAACTAGTCATCGTGACATATAGCATCTGATATTAACCAATCATTGGATACAGAAACGTCAAGCAGGCATTGCCTTTCGCTTAACTAGATGACAGGGTCTTGTTCATGCGATTGTTGTTGTTGTAGTCGCACAAATATTCCCCAAAGTACTTTTTGGGGAATGTTGCGGGAGTGACAGTCCGGGTCGTTCCGTTATAAATACCCGACTGTCGCGGGAACTATTAGATTTTAGTCGCCTCTTATGATAAGCATGCCTTACCGCGGGTAAATTCTTGGGCCCCTAACCCACAGGGAGTGGGGGAGGGTCTTGTTCATCATCCCAAACGCCTTGAATGTAATCCCAGGTTCACTCAAAAGATGGTTAAATATTATAAAGTGGGGGTCATTTTCTTGACATGGCAAGTACAAATCAATGACAAACTGGGCAAGTTTAAGTCTTTGAAAATTTTAGAACACCATTTTGGAACACCTTCAATAGCAGTTAAATGGAAAATTATGACAAATAAACACCCCAAACATTCGTACAAATTCATATATCAATTAATAGAGTGTGCTAAAGATTGATGTTTTATATTGATCAGCCCAGAGTTCTGACTTAATTCCTATTGAAAAACCAATGGAATGAAGGCAAAACTGAAATCACAAAGAAAAGTGAAACCAGTGTCATTGAGAATAAATGCTGCATTACAGAATACTAAAGCTTAAAATGTGTGTGGAGAAAGACACATTTTCACTTAATTTTTTTTTCATTTTTTTTTTTTTTGTTTTTTTTTTTTGTGTCCAGTATATTTTCCATAATTCTATTATTATTTTTGTTGAGTTATTAATAAAGTCCAACTTAGGATTATATTATTAATTAATATGAAGAATAAAATTTAGAAAAC